AATCAATAACAAATGCTACAGAGACTGTGGGAAAAATAAACCCTTCCCTACTGTTGGTGGGCATGAAGACTGGTACAACCACTGGAAATCAGTGTGGAGATTCCTCAAAAGACTGGGATTTGATGTCCCATTCAACTCGCATATTCCCTTCCAGGTTATTTTTCCAGAGAAATTCGTCATGCCACCATGACATACATGCATCCCTTTTGTATCAGCTCCATTTGTCATAGCTAAATCATAGAAACAACTCAAATGCCCATCAACTGAGGAATGAATAAAAAAGATGGGGTATTTTTATACAATGAAGTATTACTCAGCTACAAAGAAAGATAAGTTTGAGGATTTTATAGGTAGATGGATGAAACTAGACACCATATTCATAAATGAAGTAAATAGACCCAGCTGAGCTTCACACCTGACCAGCACTGTGGGTCTTCTTCCTAGCTGCCCTGAATTGCTGATTGGACCAAACACTCCCAGGCTTCATGTTCTTGGTTGAGTACATGCATCTGCATGAAGAGTCCTTTAAGATTCACAGTCTCTTTATGATTAGCAGTTTAAAGGTAGTCAGAGTCTGTCTGGTTTGCAAACTCACAGAATAGCAAAATCTTCTCAACTCGATGTCCATCGTGGCCAGTCATAAATGGTAAGCTCCTTGGTCCTTTTTCATCTTTCCTACAGTGAAGTGTTTCCCACCCTTTCTGTGCTCATTTCTCATCTTCTGACCAGTTATGCTCTCCTCTTTCTCTCACTAGAGTAAAATCACAGATCATGGAGCTGGGAACGAGAGGGAGGTCTCACCAGAGCAGATTCCCTCTCACAACCAAGACATAATTTTCAATTTAATAATAAAAATCCTTTATACTAACATCTTAACACCATCCTTTCTACTTTCATCAATGAAATTATTACTATTTTTACTACAAATGATCTCATAGTTCAATATTATGTGTTGATTCAGAGGAGAGAGTGTTCAAATTTTTTATAAATTTTTATTTTATTTTATTTTGAGGAGTAAAAACAAAAACAAAAACAAACAAGATAACATACAACAATACATATGATACAGGTTTTCAAAGCAAGAATAGCTAATTAACGTTGGTCATTTTCTTATCTAATTTATCATCAAATCTGTTGCTAGATTATCAGATATAGTAATGCAAGGTTGGATAAATAATAATAACAACACTTTTGACTTTTATATATGGAAAAAATGTTTTAAAGCCACCTACTTTAAAATACTTTATCAATGGAAAAAGCAATATTTTAATGCTGTATATAGCTTCCTATAAAAATTCAATCTTAATATATTTAGAAAAACATAAATATATTCTTCTAAATGTGTTGTATTGTCTATTATAACAAAACTGCTGGTGTAAATAAAATCTGAAATATACAACAGATACTGTAAAAGGGAAAAAAGCTGTTCAAAGGGAAGTAACAAATGAGATGAAGGAAAAGAGGGTTCTAATACTTCTGATTTCTGATTTACACTAGTGTATTGAAAGAAACATTACACACTTAATTTTTTTTCTCTTCCTTTTAATTAATTAATTAATTTATTTATTTATTTATTTATTTATGGAAGTGGGGATTGAACTTAGACCCTTGTGTTTGCCAGGGAAGCACGTATTCTACTGAGCCATCTCCCCAGTCCTCTTCATTTTAATTTTTTGACCAATTTTGCATGTTTATATCTGGAAATCTGAACAACCTAATTTGAAGACAACACTATGCAAACTACCAACCTTTTTGAAATCCTATCATCTTGTTGAATGAAATTCTGTATTATTCATAATGTTTCTTTTACTATTTTTTCTCTTCAAAAAAGATAAAAAATGAAATTATGATAAAAAGATTTTGTATGAGAAACATATATAACATGTATGACATATATTTTTAAAAATGAAATTGACAATGTTCTTTTCACAAAATGTTGAACATTTGATATGATCTATAACTCAGTTGCATTCAATTTTTTGAATTAAAAATCATAACTTTATTGTCTATTTATACATACATAGAACCAAAAATTTCAATTTATTACAAAACTTGTTTGACCCAAAAATTAAATTAATTTAAAAGGGTTTCACTTGTTTTTTCAATTTTCTAAGCACTATACTTTTTATTAATTTTATTGAGAAAGAAATAGCAATGAGACAGTTTCAAGACAGGTTAGTAGGACAGTTACAATAATTAATACATTTGCATATTGTTGTCTTCATAATAGTTGTTCATAGTACAAGGCACAGACATGATATCTTGTCTAAACACTATTGTACAAATCTTTCTCTAGCCACTATAAAAATGTGGATATCCTTTGAACTTACTTTATTCCATCATTAAGATTATAACTGGGGAGACAGCTGAACTGCCTACAAAAAAAAAAGAAAGAAAGAAAGAAAAGAAAAGTAACTTTTCCCCCTTTTGAAGTCATCAATATCATTCTTTTGACCCTTGTCCATATTGTGAGTCATCCGACCTGTATGCTCTTTTTGATATCTTTGAGCTTATTCCATACTATTCTGAACATCATCTTTCTTTTTTTGTTTGGGTGGTGGAAGGGGACTGAAGGCCCTTGAGCTTGCCAGGGAAGTCATCTTTTCATTTATAGCTTCATGGATACATTTGATTTTTTCAGTCGTTTTTGTTTCTCATTAATCCCTCTTTGTATTACATAATGACTGCATCCATTGAGGGGAGTTGGGGAATATACATCATAGATCTCAGTGTTTTTCATCTCCTTCCCCTCCTCCTTCCTTCTCCCCAACTCTTGATAATGCTTTGACTTGAAAATACCTTTTTGTTTACTGTTCTGTCTTTCATTGTTCTCTATACTTATTTATTGGATGTCTTATATAACACAAATCTAGTGATTCTCACTATTAGGTTTCGGCTTTAATTCACTTTGATATTGTGCATTCAAGGTGAGTCCACTTCCGCAAAGGGCATCAAGCTTATCTTTCCTTACGGGAGAGAGATACTGCCTTGTGTACAAATGCCACGTTTTCTTTCTACAGTCCTCTGTTGATGGACGCAAGTATCTTCCGAGATTGGTGGTTATCAATGGTGATCTTATAAAAGCGGATGCGCACGACTAAGTATAATATAATGATGTTAAATCCATTTGGAAGAGACCTAGCAAGGGGAACGTTTGCGTTACATGAAATTTCAAGTTTTAGCTTTAGAGGACTCTCCATATGAATTTTCACGCCTGATGCTCCAGTTGGTGTACTATTAACATGTGGTTTATTTATTTACTTAAATTGTTTTATTTATTTCTTTGGTGCAGGGCATCGCTGTGCATCTCAGCTCACAGGGACCCACCTGCTTCAGCCGCCCCACTGCTGGGATTATAGGTGTACATCTCCAAGTCCGGTTTCCAGGACAGGAAGACATGCAGAACCAGGTAAAAAAAAAAACCGGGTACTTGCACTTGCCAGGCAGGTACTTAGACTGCCCAGCTATCTCCCCAGCCCTAACATGTCGTTTTAATTTTTACTTTTATTGGTAATTACATACCTGCAATACAAAATGACTCCATTAATCACGGGAATTGGTTCACTGACACCTGCACAACACTGAATCTTGTCTCATATTGTATAAAGCAGTGAGAAGTTCACATTTATTTTCTTTCCTTTTTGTTTTGTAGCTCTATTATTTTAAAGGAAATCATTTCAGCATTGATGATGTTCATACTCTGGATGTTAGCATACATGATTTTGTGGTAATATTTGTGGTGGCTGGACAATCAGATGCAATCGCTACACTCTTACTTAAGGGTGAATCACAGGCAGTGGCAGCTAAGAAGACACACAGAGTGCAAGCACGCCCATTCCTGTGCTGACAGTTGTACTGCTGCCCTCGGCTCTGGTCACGGGGCTGAGAGGGGAGCACTGTGACCCTGACCAGCATCCCCAGGGAAGCTGTGTGTTGCTTCCCTGTGGGAGACACTCTCCAAAGCTCCAGGCTGATGAAAACATAATTCTTTCCTCTAGAGAGATCTCTGCCTTCACCTTGCCTGCAGCCCTGACCCTGGAAACAACGGACACCTCAAAAAGGTAAGGAATTTGGTGCCTACTCACAGTGCAGGTGCCCTGTAAGCCGTGGTGCAGCACTGAGCGTTGGCTTCTCCCCATCATGAATGGCCTGAAGTGAATATGTTGCCACTGACAGCTTTGCTGAAAAGAAGAATTAAATGAATGTTTAACTAAAAAGAGCACCTTTCTGAAAATTAACAAAATAGAACACAAGATGTGAGTATACTCAGAGAGAAACTCTCACGTAGCTCTGCAGGTTAAGAGACGGCTGGGCCAACAGCTGCTAAGAACTACTGCTGAGATTTGGCAGCATCAGTGAGGCAGGACCCTAGGATCACCCATGTGGTGTTTTAGGTATGTGAGAAGTACTAAATTTAAACTGAAACCAGTAAAATTCTGCATGATTTGTATTTTATAATTAAATATTAATATAATTAAGCTAGAACTTATTTTCTCTCTTTCCTTCTCTTTTCAAATTATCGGTGGTTTGTTTTTTATTTCATACAAGGTCTCACTACCCAGATTGGACTCATAGTGATCTTCCTGTCTCAGCCTCCTCAATGCTGGGATTAGAGGTGTGCACAATTACACCCAGTTTTGGTGGGTGCACCTGATGACACAGCATGCGATACTCAGGATTAAAACCGGATCTTTGCACTTGCTAGGCAGTCACATCAACCCCCAAGCTATCTCCCTAGCCCCTCATTCTCTTTTTAAAGCTTTACGTTACAGAACAATATGAAATTCTATTGATAAAGACAGAATTCCTTCCTTCTGATCATTTATAGAAGAATCAGACATCAATTTGATTCTGATTTTCTCATCTGCTTGGATTATTCTAAGATAAGCAATATATATTTCCTTTGCTATGACAAAAACAGGAGGATATGAAATATATTTTTCTTAATCTCAATGGTCCTTTGAATTTATGAACAAAGTAAATATGATTATTTTTCTAAGAATTTGAAAATATTTGTAATAATTAGTTCAGCATATAGACTACTTCCTTAAACTATAAATTCTATTCACAGGACTTTCAAAAAATCTTTTGAACTGGAAACAAACTTTAAAATGTACAACTTGGTTTTTATGGCTCACTTAAAATCATTCAGGAATTCCCACTGATAGCTTTCAGTGGGAGAAAAATAAAATACCCTTAATGATATTTACAATACTTGACAGTTATAAAATGACACTCCGGATTGCTTGGGTCGCTGACATGGCTCATTCTCTGCTGTGGTATAGGCACTACACAGCAGCATTTGTGCAGGAGCACAAAACTGTACACGTGCGCTCTGTGTATAAAGACTTCAAGATAAAATTTGAACACTTAAGCCCCTAACAAAGATGTGAAGCCAGGAAGTCAGCAGTCTTTGCATTTCATTCAGACAAGTTTTCCATTGGATACAGGAGATAAAAAGTGACTGTCCTTACAGCATTTAATGATGTAATTTATAAAATGTATTTACATATGTTAAAAGTTTTCTCATGGCTGCCATACTTGACCATGATTTACACTTCTTGAGATTTGTTGATATTGAAACACATGACTACACTGACTAGGCTTGTCTTTTCCCTAAGCACAAGATTACTGACTTTTTAACATGTACTTGCCAAATTATTCCTAATCAGATTGGAAAAACGGGATTAAATGATTCATCAAACTAACCAAACATTGGGAAATTTAATTCATTTAAATCACTGCATTTATATTTGTTGTACTGTACATCTCTGCTTTGTGTTCTGGTTGAAGGATTTACTCACACTGAACACATCCAACCTTCAACAAATGGTTTCTGTGACGTTACCATCGCAGGCAGCATGTTCACTACCGTGGTGGTCAGCACATCTATGAAGTGTCACTGATGGACTCATGCTGCCTGAAGCATCTCTAATTTGCCCTTCAATCTCTGAATTTTATGGTATGGCTTCCTCAGTGACAGCATAAAGCTGAGCTCCCACGTATAACCACACTTTATGCCTGAGCTAGGTCTACAAAATTGACATTCTTGGACTCAAAACTACAGCATCATACCTTAAAATACTAATGAAACTTCAATAACTACACTTTCAGTGTTCTTTTATTCCTAAAGCTGTAGATTATTCGGGTATATCCATGGGAAAATTATCTTGAAAATCAAATGTGACATATAAAGTGTTCAATTATGCTTTTGACTGACATTAATCTTGTTATTAAGTATCATTACAACACTAAATAAATGAAAATAATTTCCCATTCTTTTTAAAAATTTTATTCATTTATTTTGAAGAGTAAAACCAGAAACAAAAACAAATACAAAAAGGCAGAAATAGGGTAATGTGCAGCAATGCATATGTTACAGACTTTCAAAACAGGAATAGCTAATTAACAATGGTTGTTATATTATCTCTTTATCATCGAATCTGCTGCTTGGGTTAAGAGATATACTTATGCAACATTGAGGAAATAATTGAATATTGGTGCTTGCTTTCAAGAAATCTTAATTTCTGTTTTAATATATTTTAAGAAGCGTAAAATAATTATAAGACATTAGAAATGGTGCACATTTAAAAGACGAAGATGAGAGACATTCAACCATGCGCTTTGCTTCACACATTGCTGACCTCGATGTAGTTGCTCAGATCACAGGTAATAGCATACAGTTAGTCAAGGTGATTCTAAACATTAACTACTATTTCCAAAAACATCTGATGGAAATGAGTACAATCATCTCAGCCATCCTGTATGAAAACTTGCATGCTTTCCCTCCATCCTTGTTTTCTATCTTTTCTTTGTGTCATCTTCATTGTTTAATTCTTTCTTTCCATTACTAGAGGTTATATTCATAACCGAAATAAATCATACTCATATGTATAAATATCAGATTGTCTCCCTAGTGTAAGAACCTGAAAGAATAAATGTTTCATTCTTAATTCCGCAATCATTTACTATTCTTTGGTATTGCTGTTCTCTTGCAGATTAGAGAAGATGAGGTATGGATGGAGCAAACCACACCACAGTGACAGAGTTCATTTTCCTGGGGTTCCTGGGCTCGCTCTCTCTGCGACTCACTCTCTTTGTGATCTTCCTCTCTGTGTATCTGCTTTCACTCATGGGAAACACCCTCATCATCTTCCTTGTGCTCATGGATTCCACACTCCAGACACCCATGTACATCTTCTTAGGGAATCTGTCCTTCCTGGAGGTCTGGTACACCACAGTCACTGTGCCTAAGTTGCTGGCCACCTGCCTCTCCAAAGTTGTCACCATCTCTGTGTCCGGCTGTATTACCCAGTTCTACTTCTTCTTCTCCATGGGAGCCACAGAGTGCATCCTGCTCGCAGCGATGGCCTATGATCGGTACGTGGCCATATGCAGCCCTCTGCGGTACTCACTGTTCATGAATATTCAGATCTGCATGAAGTTTTCAGCTGGATCCTGGACTGCGGGATTCATTGCTCCTCTTCCCGCTACCATATTCATCTCTCGTCTAAACTTTTGTGGTCCTCAGAAGATCAACCATTTCTTCTGTGACTCAGACCCCATTACTAAACTCTCCTGCTCAGACACATTTTTTGTTGAGGCACTAGGTTACACTTGCAGCTCAGTTGTGATTCTAAGTTCTTTCTTCTTCACCATGTTCTCTTATGGAAATATTGTGGCCACAGTCATCAGGCTGTCCTCCCGAGAGGCTCAGAAGAAGACCTTCTCCACCTGTGCCTCCCACCTCACTGTAGTCACCATCTACTATGGCACTGTTATCTTTGCCTATGTCCGCCCTCCAGCCAAGTACAACTTCACCATTGGTAAAGTGGTCTCCGTGTTCTACTGTGTGGTCACGCCATTGGTAAACCCTCTCATATACACCCTGAGGAACCGGGAGGTGAAGAAAGCTTTCAGGAAATTTTTAGTTCAGAACACATTTTTCATAGCTAAAGACATCAAGAAGTTTTGAAGGACTAGTGAGATACCTCAGTGGACTAAGCACCTGGTTAGGTAAGTGCAGGGACCGGGCTTCAATCCCTGACGCCACATGCTATGCTTGCCCCACCCCCCAGCACACTGAGCTGGCCACAGTTTCTGGGTATGATGGTACATTCCTGTAATCCCAGCCCTGGGGAGGCTGAAGACAGGAGGATCACTATGATTCTGGTCCGTGTAGTGATTCTGGTCCGAAAATAAAACAAGGGTTTTTCTATAACTAAATAAAATTTAACTAACCACAGTGAATGATAAAACCTCTTTTTAAAGATAAGTATTGGAATTTGCATAACAAAATTTATATGATTTGTTATGCTAATTTTGTGCACTTTCAATTGTGCTTTGAATACTTCTGAAGCACTATTCTATTATGAATATCTTAGTATAATGTCAGAATTAGAAAAATGTTAATAACACATTGGAACTCTCTTCTAATAAATGGTTCCCCGATAATGCATTCATTCCAAAACTATCAAGCAATAGGATGAAACAGATACTACTCTGAAATTAATATAAATCTGACTAGTTAATTACATTAGAAAAATATTTCATACTCCAATTTCTTCTGGTTGACATGAAACTATTAATGCAGTAAGTTCATTTTGATATATCTTTAAGATTGCGGAAAATAGATGCATAGAAATGGGCAGTGTAAGAATGGTGTGTTTGCACACGCGGGTCTGATTTATTTCACTTAAGAGTATATTCTCTAGCTGCATCAATTTACTGACAAAAGGCTCAAATATATCCTGCTTTATATCTGAATAATACTTCCTTGTGTAAAAATACCACATATTCTTTATCCATTCTTCCGCTGATGGGCGTCCGTGTTGCTTTCAGGATTTAGACCACTTGGAAGACAGCATTATGCATTGCAAAACTACTGTGAAATTCATAATACTTTGTTAAGAGAAATTCTGTATCACTTGCAGTTTTTTCTGTTTTAATTCTAATTTGTACTCTCCTTAAAAAATAAGAAAGTTGTGTTTAAGAAGGTAAAAGAAGTGAACAAAGTGATTCCAATAGAGTAGCCAAAGAGACAATTAATGAGTCAAATATTAATTTGATAATTTCTAGGCAGAGAGAATGAAGAGAAGTGCATACAGTTTCCCAATTATTATATTTTATTTTTTGTGTGAATGAATGAGCCTCATAATGGTCCATCACTTTAGTGCAGTGCAGACATGAGACACAGCATGGGAGCTGGGAGTACTAGCCTACCCTGTTCTGAGAGCAGGCCGCACTGCTTCCTGTGTTCCTCTGACATGAGGTCAGTGCACCAGAGCACTGGGAGCATTAGAACAGCCTAAAGAGGTGATGCCCCAGTGCGTTGGTGTGAAAGCCTGTTCTGGGACAGCAGCACAGGCTGACACAGTCAGAAAAAAAATCCGGCAATCATTATTTTGGGCACAAAATAATTTAATGTACATTTAATGGGAAGAGATAAATAAATTCAATGTTTTGGTTTACATGGCAATGTGTGATTATTTCTTAAATATCAACATGTGATTTTTAAGGGGCGACCAAATAGCTCAGCGGATTAAAGCTCTTGCAAGCAGGCACAGGGGCTGGGGCTTCAGTCCCCAGGCCTGCTGTGCTGGCTCCACCCCAGGGGCACGCTGAGCAGCAATTGAGACTGGGTGTGGTGGCACATGCCTATGATCCCAGCACTTGGGAGGCTGGAACCTGGAGGATCACTACAGGTCTGATCTAGTAGTGAGACCTTGACCACCCCGTAGAGCCTTCCCTAAAACACAGGGGGGAAAATGTAATTTTTCTGACATGTGTGAAAGATAAAATTAAATGTTTCTGAATACCTGGATTGCACTTGAGCAAAACATTTGAATAGCACCCTGGCTTGTCATAGTGGAGTATGAGTATCACAGACGATATTTCATCCCCTTATATTTCCTCCTCTCTTTCAATCCCATCCTCTGCTCTTGTCATCTATCTCACAACTCACCTCTTCCTACTCATTTTCCTCTATTTTTGGATTCCATGTTTGACAGTATTTGCAGATTGATTTTTAACCTGTGTATATTGGTAATAAAGATGTTGTTCACATACCTCTATTTTGTGGCAAATGACAGGATTTCATTCTTTATGGCTGAAAAAAAATATGCCACAATGCATAAACATGACACTCTCTTCATGCATTTCTACTTTTAGGCACCTGGGCCTCTTGCACAGCTTACCTGCTATTATGGTTTGTTTCATTCCCCCCCCCAAAGCCTCACGTAAGTCATGAGGCAGGTGTAGCTGGAAGAGCGGTGAGTGGCTTGAGTGGTGGGGCCAGAGGACCAGGTCCGAGCTCAAGGGACAGGGCCAGTTAGTCACGAACAGTTAAACTGGCAGCATGTGCCAGCTGGAGGCCTCTCTTGGAGGTATGGAGCAGGTCATCCTGGATGCAGTGGCACCCCACCAAGGCACTGACCCCCTCTCTTGTACAAATAAGACTCCAAGGTCTTGCTACGTAATTGAGGCCATCTTAGACCATGAGACCTCCAGTAACTGTGAGCTAAATAAACCTTACCTTCCCTCATTTTGAGTGTTGGCTATTGTCCTAGCAATGAAAGAATAGTAACTAAGACAGAATTTGGTACCAGGAGTGGGGTGATTGCTGTGGCTAAACCTGACCATGTGGTTTACAAGATTTGGGGAATAACCTATGGGAAGAAATAAGAAAGTTTTGCAGATTTCGCCTACAAGAGAAAGGCAGGAAAAGCTTTGGCTGTTCTGTAGGGAAGATTCTGGTCAGAGTTCAGAAGGCCAGAAGGCTTTTATAGAAAGCCTGCCTTTAAAGACCATGCTGGGTATATTTGTGCTGGGAGGAAGGACTGCACTGGTTGTTGGACTCTCAATCATTTGTATTTTGGCTTGGCAGAAAGTTTGTCTGAATTTTGCCTATGTCCAGAGACTTTGCATGAGACACAGATCAAACATGTGGGACTGATTAATCTTTCAAAGGAAATCTCAAAGCAGTCAAATATTGAGGCAGTGGAATGGTTATTGGTCTGGGATCTTAGTCAGATATATGTTGAGAATCAAGAGCAAAGAGCTCAGCAGTATTATTTAAAATGTAGTGAATTTGGCCAGAAAGGAATCACCAGAAAGGCTGTGAACTGCAAAGATAGAGCTGAAATCTCCATTGCCCAGGAGGAACAGGAGAGTGGAAAAGATATAATAAGGACATCACAGGAGGTGGCAGGCTCTCGCCCTTTGCAGCTTCAGAATGTCAAGGGTGAGGGATTTTGCTTTGAGAAATCAGTAGAGCCCCAGGTTCCAGAATGGAGGCAGAAGCCACACCAGATTCCAGACAGGCACTGGCATGGAGAATTTATTCCTTGCAGTTAGGGTCACAGTGCTCAGCGATCCATGCACTCAACTCCTACAGCCAAGAAAGAAAAACACCTGCCTACTACTCCAGCTGGCAGCCAACTTTGGCATCATGCACATGGCATTGGTTTTAGCCACATGCAGAATGCAGGAGTTTTGAGGTTAAGAAGATTTCCACCTAGATTTCAGAAGACAGCCTAAGAGGCCAGGTAGTGTGCTCCTGAGAAGGCGGTGTGTAAAGCTGTGAGTGAGATGACTATTCCATGGAACCCTCAGAAATCTGTAGAGACGGAGCAAAGCCAGCCTAAGAGACAAGCCAGAGGAGCTGCCACCAAGAGTGCCACAGGGGCAGAGCCACATGGAGCTCGTAATTCGCTACAGATTGCTTTGGATATTCCACATGGAACTATAGGACTTAATGTTTGCCCTGCTGGGTTTTGGACTTGTTTTGGCCAAAATTGTTTGTATCCTCATGTGTGTATGTTTTGGAATGGCAATGTTTATATTGTGCCTTTGAGTGTTGGCTATATTTAACTTTTTATTTGTACAGGGCTTACATTTGAGAGTTTGCCTTGGATCTTGGAGTTGACTTGGGACTTGGACTAAAATGCCTTTTGGATAAAGGGATGTGTATGAGACTTTGGGTTCCAGAGTCAGATTGTTATTTTTTGTGCCTAGTTGTCCCCCAAAGCCTCATGTAAGTCATGGGGCAGACATAGACTAAGGAGCAGTGAGTGGCTTGAGGGGCCGGGCCAGAGCACCAGGGTGGAGATCAAGGGGCAGAGCCAGAAAGGCGTCAACCATTAAACAGGCAGCACGAGCTTCCTCCCAGCCAGCGGCCTCTCTTGGAGGTATGGCGTGGGTCATCTTGGACATGGCGATGCCCCACCTTGGCACTGACCCTCACTCTTATACAAATAAGGCACCGAGGTCTTGCTATGTAATTCAGGCTGCTTTAAACTATGAAAACTCCAGTAACTGTGAGCTAAATAACCTTTCCTTCCCTAATTTTGAATGTTGGGTATTTTCCCCAGCAAGGGGAGAAGAGTAGTTAAGATAGCTGCTATTTCTTTGCTATAAATATGTGTGCATATGTCATTGGAGCTTGCTACTTAGACTTAGAAGTACATTAAGTGCATGTCTGAATCAAAAAGGAGACCTAACTTTTTTAACTTTTTAAGGAATCTCTTTACTTATTTCCCTCAGGGATTTATTAATTTACATTCCCACAACCACGTAGAATGTTGTCATTTAATTGTCACATTGTCACAAGCATTATTACATTCTGTTCTCTTGATGACCACTGCTCACACTGGAGGGAGATGGAGTTCCTGTGTGGCTTCCAGTCTCCTTTTTATAATGTCTGAAATCGCTGGACATTGATACTTGACTTTTTATACAAAGGTTCTGTTCATCTAACTTATTGACTTTCCAATCTTTTATTTCTTTTCTTCACAATTGTTTTGTGAGTTCTGAGTGTAATAAAGATATTAATCTTTTCTCAGGACTGAAGCTGACAAATTTGCATCCATAGAAATTATTGTCACAATAACTTCTACTAGTAAATGTGAAACAGGACATAGAGTATGATATTTTCTAACATGTAATTTCCTATGAAAATAGCAAAAAATTTACACA